CCGGCGGGCCCTGCCGTGGCCCTCACATGCCGATCCCCAGCACGTGTCGGTGGGGCAGCTGAGAGCCCGTGGGGTCACCCTGTGCAGAGGGGCAAGCCCCTGGGGGCCCCCTCTACTTGGGGGGCAGCCCCACTGCAGCACCAGYCTCCTTGTGCCAGTGGGGCAGCCGTGACCCAGCCGAGCCCGCCCGCCCCGGGGGGACCCCTGTGGCCCTGCCACCCGTCACGGACACCCCATTGCAGCCGCTGCAGGAGCAGGTTCAGCTGCTGGACGGGGCCGCGGCCACGTGGAGCGGCCGGGGCGGCAGCGCCTGCAGCGCCTCCTCGCCCCGGGTCTCCCTGCGGAGCCGTCCCCGCGGCGCTGCCTGCGCCCTGCCCGGGCTGGTGCCCTGTGTGGGCAGCCCTGCCGTCCATCCTGGCAGCCCCTTGGCACACGCTGTTCGGGATGCGCCTTCGGGAAACCCAGTGCAGGGAAATAGAGTCCTAAGATCCTTGTCTCCAGGCCTCKGTGCTTGCCCCGGGCACCAGCTCGTACAGGGCAGAGCTGTAGGGAGGAACTTGGCCTGTGCGAGTTTGGATGTCTGCTTTCCACCATCCCCTCGCTCTGTGACACCCTGCCCTGCGTTGTCCCTATGTGTGCCCCTCGTTGGGGACACCCTGTTCCGTACGGCCGGGCTGTCCCTTCCCATCAACGCAGACCGTAGCACTTGTTCAGGAGTGATGAAAACGAGCTGGGGTGTCTGTGGAGGGTCTCAGAGCTTGGCAGTGCCCTTTACAGAGAGGAGCAGAGAGGCAGGGTCGGACAGCTCTGTTACCTCAACGGTTTGGCTTTCCTTGAGATCTCGGAGAGCGTAATATCCCCTGCCAGGTTACACCTGCCTGTGGCAGGGAGCTCTGGAAGGAAAGACCAGATTCCACTCAGGCACCCAAAACCTTGTGCCCCAGTGTGCCCGTGGCACAGGGGGCTGCAGACGCCCCCCCGGCTGCTCTGTSCTGGAGCTTTTAGGGTGAGCGAGCTTCCGTGGAGCTGCGCGGGTGGAGCTGCGCGGGAGCAGCGGGAAGCAGGAAGGGTGAATGTGCCGGAGGAGGCAGCGAGCGGCACGGTGCGGAAGGCCGGCGGCTGCCGAAGGTCGTTCTCGCCACTGTCTTGTCTGCAGCCCCACGTGCTGTGTAAGCAGCTCTCTCCTGGGGCAATGTGCTTAGAGGGTGATTTTTGCAAGGCTGAGCTGAGCGTGCTGCTCCGGAGCAGGGTCCTTCCCATGTGTATGGGATTGCTGGTTTGGATGGCTCTTCCCGAATTGCAGCAGGCGCTTGTTGTCACCAGCAGGCACTTGGTGAAGACCAGCCGGGACCCTGTGACGCTGTGGGGCAGTGACAGGGGACCAGCCCRTGTGCCACCCGCTCTCCGAGCCCCTGGGATGTCCCCTGGCTGGGCCGGTGGCCGCTGCTGCAGGCCGGGGCTGCCTTGGGGCTTTTCCTTGGACCCATCCGGCTGGACGCGACAGCAGCCAGACTGCGAGGGCAACACACTTCTCGAGTGTCCCCCCAGGTCCCGGCAGATGTAGCGCGGGGTCCTTGGGCCTGTTGTGACTACCAGGCCAGCTTCTGAAACGATGGCTTTATTTCTCCACTTTCTGCATTCAGCTSTGTCACTTTGTAAGTCCCTTCCCAGGAAGAGCAGCTGGGGAAGCTTATGAGAGGTCTCCCAGTGAGGAAATGGGCTCTTCCTCCTTCTCCTGTATTTAAGCAACTGCTTCCTCGCTGTCCAGCCTGAGATATCTCTGTCTAATTCCCCTAGTGTGGCTGATGATAGGTGAAAATCCCAGAGCTGCCTTTGGAGGAAGACCCTGCAGCCACGTGCTGAGCTCTGGAGAAGCATCATCGCGGGAGGACAAGGGGCTCGTAACGTTATAACCTGCCAAGCCAGGAGCCGGTAGCCTGGGTCTCCTGGAAGCCAAGCAGCTGAGTTTGGAGGCTCCCAGCTGGGAGCCGGGCAGGGATCCCCGGCCCCTGTCAGAGCATCTYGGGAGCTGTGGGGCTGCGGAAGGGGTTAACCCTGGAGGCTGGGATGCTCCCTGAGAGGGTCTCCCTGACCACGTGTCAGGGATCCAGAGGTGCCTTTTTACATGTTGTTTCCTGGAAGGAGAGAGAAAATCTTCTCTCTCTGCTGCTGGTCTGGGGGCAGCTGCAGGAGAGGGGTCAGGGTCTCCTGCTCTCCCATTTGTCCCCGTTTCCTGGTTTGCAAGGCAGCGTGTGGATGCCCAAGGGCTCGTGCCTTCCSTGCATGACCTCCTGCCTTGCCTTGCCTCAGCGCATGGGAGTCACGGGCAGAGTGCAGGTATTTGGGGGCTGATCTCAGCCCCGTTTGGTTTGTCCCCCTCTAGTAGAAAGCTGTGGCTGCAGCAGCCTCGTTGCTCTGGCAGAATCACCGTGTCTTGGCTGTGATTTCCGTTCTTTCATGCCTTGGTGATTTCAGACCCCATGACCCTTTCCCAGTTAGCGCTGGAAAGGGCAGAGTCTTGGTTCTGGAATTATTTAACCCAAGGGGATGAGTGTGGGCCCATTCTTCACAGCGGTGTTTTGACTGGCTGCAGGAAGGCTGGTGAGACCATGAGCGGATGCCCTGAGCTGCCCGGGTGTCACAGTCTGTGCTGGAGGCCRCAGTGCCACTGCAGGCAGCCTGTGGGGCTGGAGCAGACCCTGTGCCCTCGGTGTGTGGGGCAGACCCCCAGGAACCCATGTGGAGCTGCACGGAGAGGCCTCATGCCATAACACTGAGCCGTGCAAGTTGAGCTGGGATCCTCCCTTCAGGTCCAGGAGTTCCCAGGMACTGCAGTTTGGAGGCAGCTCACGGGTGGTCAGGGAAGGTAGCAGAGCTCCTGAACCTGCTGCTAAACCTGTGTAGYGCCAGGGCACTGAAGGCAGGTGTCTGCGGGAAGCGGCGTGAGCTGCAGCATCCTCAGCAAAGGAAACTACCTGAACYGGTGCCTCGGTGCCTGAACCGAGCTCCTGTCCTGTGCTGGGTGGGACAGGGCCTAGGAGCTCCTGCTCCTGGAGCTGCCACCCGGATCTTTACTGGGCAGAAAGTCCTCCTTTCTCCTGCTGACCTTGAGCTGGGCTGTCTGGAGCACTGAGAGCTGCTTTCCTGCAGACAGCGCTCGCCCTCTGGGAGCCTTTTGCTCATCCCAGCTGGCTCGGGTCGCGCCGATCCTGTTAGAGGCTGCTCCGAGATAATCTGGCGGCCTCCTGCCCGCCCGGCCCTGCGGGCTGATCCGCTCCCAGCGCTGCGGCCCCGACGCAGATGCAGCCTGGGCTCGGGGGGCCGCGACACCTCGGGCAGCGGCATCACCTCCCCTGGCGTCCGCACGTCACCGAGCCGGGGCCAAGAGCCGTCCCCGCCGCCTCCAGATGGAGACTGAAGCCCATCTTATCTCACCTTGTGCTGGGAGACTCTCCCTCGTGTTTAGTCTTCRGTGTTTTGCAGCTCCCCCAGCGCCAGCAGCACGTTCTGCCTTCGTGGCGTGGCTGAACCAAGCCACAGGGTCACCCCGTGCCAGGGCCACGTGCAGGGTCCCTGGGCACACACGGGGCTCCGGAGCAGGTCCCGCTGGCGTTGGGATGCGACCTGCTGGCTGAGGACACAGGGACAGCCAGGCAGCGGATGGATGGATGGATGGATGGATGGATGGATGGATGGATGGATGGATGGATGTGCAGGTTTCCCTGCCCTGGCCTTCCAGCCCGCCTGTAATAGCTGCGTTCTCCTGGAGTCTTAATTATAACGTGTGTATGATAATGGCCTCTATACTCCGGGCAGGCTCTCGTGCCCTTAGAAATCTGTTTATTGTTTTTTAATAGTCTGGCTTCTAAACTCGCGCCAGGAAACAAAAGAGAAGCAAGATAATCATCGGGATAGTGTGGTCTGTGGCTTGTGTTGTTTTGTTTGGTTTTAATGGCCAGCTACGGCTCTGAATTTGCTCGCYCGGCTTAGGACTTGCAGTCGCCGGCTGCGGGTGCCTGGGGAGGCATCTGTGGTTTTCAGGGGGCTTTTGTGGAGCAGCGGCCGGGGGCCTGTCCTGGCATCCCCATTCCATCCTCGTGGATGTGGGGAGAAACGGGGGCCTTGCCGTGCAAATCCCCTCCCGCTTTATTCTGCACATTTCCCAAGTCTGGGTGTCGGGGTGCAGCCTGGCTGCTCCGCCTGGGGGTCTCCGAACAAGCTCAGCCTGGAGGAGCAGAGGAGCCCCCTTCGCGAGGGGCTCTGCTCGCGTGCAGGCAGGCGCTGGTGCTCGGGCACGAGCCGGGGGCCGCCGGCCGCAGCCCTTCCCTCCCGCGTGGCGCCGGCTCCGGGACGCGATTCCCGGCCCATGTGCGGAGCGAGGAGGCGGCGGCGGCAGGAAGCAGGCGGGAGCTGCGGCTCCGCCTGGGACGGGGGCTTCTCCGCCGGGAGCTCTCATCTGGAAGCCATCAGCGGCAGTGGGAGGGAGCCGCCTCGCCGGGGCCACACACGCCGGGGCCGCCAGCCCGCGGGGCTCCCGCCGGGCAGGGGCGGCGGAGCCCCCTCGTCCAGCCCGCGCGGAGCCCCCGCGTCCCCGCTCGGCTCGCGGGGAAGGCTCCCGCCTTGCCGCCCTCGCCGCTGAGCCCGGGGCGGCCCCGGGCCCTGCCGAGCGCCTGGCTTGGGCTGGCTGCGGAGGACGCTTGGGGCGCCCGGAGGGGATGGTTGTGTCCGGCTCCCACCAGGGTCTCGTTGCTTGGGAGGTGCCCATGAGTCTTCTGCTCGCTTTTTGCCTGCCCTATGGATTGGATTGCTGGTGGCCAAATCCTGCCCAAGCCTGACGGAGCTGGCAGGCTGTACAGCGGCTGTGTTTTGGGTCAAAAGAAGGTGGAGAAAAACCACCTTCCTGCTGCTTTTTTTTGAACAGCCTCTCCAGTGCCTGGAGAGAAGGTTCAGGCTGTGCCCTTCATGGCACTAGAACKATTATCCCCTGCGTTTTCTCCTAGCAGTCCCTTGGGCAGCTTGCTCCGCCCTTGCAAAGCAGAGGAGGAAACAGGGCACGAGCCWGAGGCAGGGTGCTGGGGCTCCAAACAGCGGTAAGCACAGGGGTGCAGGCCTCTTCCTCCTTGACTCTGGGCGTCTCTTGCAGCTTGGCCAACATCCCGTTGACTCCGGAGACCCAGCGGGACCAGGAGCGGCGGATACGCAGGGAGATCGCCAACAGCAACGAGCGGCGGCGGATGCAGAGCATCAACGCGGGCTTCCAGTCTCTGAAAACGCTCATCCCACACACGGACGGCGAGAAGCTCAGCAAAGTGAGCGCAGGGGGCTGCTCCAGCACGTCCACAACGTGCGATTTGGGTGTCGATCCCGTGTATAGGGGCTTTCTGTTTTGCTCGTCGAGCAGGCTGGTCAGGGCTCTAAGCATAATTGGGGATAATTGCATATGTGGTTGCACCAGTCACTTCCAGGCTCCTCAGCAGGCCTGGGGCATCGGAACTAGTGTTTTCTAGTTCTAAAGTTCTGGTGTTTTCATAGGGCTGGATGAAGCTCTTTTCTCGAGGGGTGATGGAGCTCCCTCTCAGAGGCAGCTGCCCCTGGGGGTGGGCAGCGCGTGTCACAGGGTGAGTAACTTGGTGTCCTGGATGCAGAGCAGGGGAGCAGCCTGCGTGCACCCAACAACACCAGTGCTGGGACCCCGGTAACGAGGGGCCCTTTCACAGCAGGACTTTCTTGATGCTGTAGAAGGAGAGTGGTAGGAAAAGACAGCTCTGGCGAGTAGGTCAGACACTGTTCCCATGAAGATGAGTGAGATCTAGAGYACTTTGGGTGCAGGGGAAGCCCAGGTGAGAGCCCAGCCACAGGGTCCTGAGGTGCAGCAAAGCTTGGAGATGTTGGGGCCAGCAAGGAGCTGTCCTGCTGCCTCCTGGGCAGGAAAGCTGCTTGGCAGCAACAGGTCTCCTGTGACCAGGGAGGGACCTTGCAGGAAAGCCTCCTGCCTCCTGACTTCTCTCCTGTCTCTTCTGCAGGCGGCGATCCTCCAGCAAACTGCCGAATACATCTTTTCCCTGGAGCAGGAGAAGACCCGGCTACTGCAGCAGAACACGCAGCTCAAGCGGTTCATCCAGGTGGTGCCTCCCGTTGTGCCCAGCGCTGCTGGGCTGAGGAAGGGCTGGCTCCCTAGAAGGGGCACTCCTGGGGGAAGGGGCTTTGCACAAGGCTGGGTAGCAGCGAGGCTTGTGGGCAGCTGCATCTGCACCACTGAGGAGCCTACGGCCCCGTGTGTGATCTGGACGGGGGAATCGGAGTGCTGGGAATAGAGGGGAAAGTCCTGGCAGCCCCAGAGCGCCGGGACTGGGCCCTGACGCTGCGTCTGCCTGGCAGGAGTTCAGCGGCTCCTCCCCGAAACGGCGGCGGGCGGAGGACAAGGATGAAGGCATCGGCTCGCCGGACATCTGGGAAGACGAGAAGGCCGAGGACCTGCGGCGGGAGATGATCGAGCTCCGGCAGCAGCTCGACAAGGAGCGCTCGGTGCGCATGATGCTGGAGGAGCAGGTGAGGCCGGGCGCGGAGGCCGGCGCGGTGCGGCGCCGCGCGGGCCGGGCCTGCCCTCTAGCGGGCAGTGCCCGGGGACGTGGAGCCGCGCGGGAGCCGGCGCACGTGGCCGCCCTGGGCCCCGTCCTGCCTGCGCTGCCCTTGGGCCAGCCCGCTGCGGTTCAGGGGGCTGACGTCTCCCCTCCGAGCCCGTCCGGGCCGAGGCCACCGCCGAGGTGCTGCCGTGGGTGTCTGGGAGGTCAGGACTTGCTGCTCCTGTGATGTTCCCAGGAGACCTGCGGGTGCCGGAGAGCTGCTGAGCACTGCTTTGGTGTCCCTTGAGCCTTGCTTTACCTCTTGAGCTGCTCTGTTGCTCCAGCACATTGATCCATATCCCAGCGGACTGGTTCTGGCAGAGTGGGCTCTGGTCAGGAGCGATTCATGGTTTGTTGGCCGCTGCAAGCTGCTTTGGGACTTGGTAGTTGCCCCCTACCCAGGCTCAGTGCTGGGTTCTCCCCAGGGTCCCTGCTTAGTCGGCCCCATAGCTCCGAGGACGAGCACGGGGTGGCTGGGTTTCGTGCCAAGGTCTCGCTGTGGGATCGGGGGGCTGGTTTGGGAGCAGCCCTGCTCCAACACCAACGCATCTGGGCCCTGTCTGTCGGCAGGTTCGCTCCCTGGAGGCCCACATGTACCCCGAGAAGCTGAAGGTGATTGCTCAGCAAGTGCAGCTCCAGCAGCAGCAGGAGCAGGTGAGGTTGCTGCACCAGGAGAAGCTAGAACGYGAGCAGCAGATCCGAACCCAGGTGAGTGCACGGATACCACCCCGTTTCTGTGAGATGTGAGTCTGGGTGCACAGGCAGTGATGTGCGTGGGGCTGAGGACAGCTCAGCGACRTGGTGCTTCACCCCAGGGTTTGGCTGCAATTGGCAGCAATGTCCCCACAAAGCTCTCATTCTCAGGGGGTGGGGAAAGCACTTGGTGTGCGGCCCTTGTGTGCTCGTGTCCTGGCGGGGCTCCCTTTGGGGCTGGAGCTGATGCTGCCGCCCACTGCTGAGAGAAGATTTGCTGCTGTGTCCCCATGCCGTGGTGCCCCGTTCCTCACAGCCAGCTCGCTGGCTGCCACATCGTGTCTGCCCCAGGAAGGCACTAGCAGCTGCCCGGCTGGTCCCTGTGGCCAGAGAGTCCCCTTYCATGGTGGCGGCTTCCCCTTCCCCTGCTCCAGAGCTGGTGCCCCTCTCTTTGCCAGCATTGCTCCACAAGTGCCACCACAGGACTCCACCACAGGCGCTCCCCACGGCCCCGGGTAGCTCAGCAGGGGCTGCTTTGCTGCTCCTGTGCTGGGGATCGTGGCTCGGACACGTCACGGCAGCCTTCAAGCGGCTCCATCCCCCAGCGCTGGCAGCTCGTGTACGTGGAAGGTTCCTTTCAGCTGGCAGCGATTCAACTTGGCGCTGGCGGGACCGTCACTTTCCAAGGCCTTGCTGGGAGGCACTGGGAGCGGCCGCCTCTGCATCCCCTGGGAGCCGAGTTCCTCTGCTGAGCTTTCCCAGCCGGGCCTCCCTGCCGGCCTCAGGTGGAGGAAACGGGGCCCAGCAGGGCCCTGGTGCCGCTCTGGCTCTTTTCTGTCCCTTTCTGTGGCCTTTGCTGGCCGTGGGACCTAGATGAGGACCGTAGGTCTTGGGCCCCGTCCAYGGTGATGGCAGCAGCTGAAAGGCTCCGAGCAGTTGATGCAGGTAGMGCTTCCCGTGCCAGAGCTGGTGGTTTGCAGTGACATAAAGGTCCAACACGGCCGCTGCAGGCTCGAGGCTCCCTGGGTGACTCCAGSCTGTTTTGGGAGGTCCCCAATCCCCAGCACATACAAATCTGGAACCAGGAAGCGGGCGAGTTGGCAGGCGTTGCTGCCTGGGGCAGTTGCAGGCGTGCAGGTACCGAGGCCTGCAATCTCTGGCAGGCCAGAGATCTCACCAAATCACATCCCTGGTGCCTTGGGCAGCCTCGCGGAGCCTTGGAGTGCAGAGGAGGAGAGGTCAGTCCCTGCGCTGGCGCTTCCCTGTCACAGCCCTGGCTCTGAGCCGTCCCTCAAGCTSAGCCCCTGGGGACCACGGGGAACTTCAAACACAGTTAGAAAAACCGACTTCCTCTRTCGTTTGGCTTCTCCAGAGATGCTTCCCGCGGCATCCATGCCCAGCCGCCTCCTAGGGAAGTTCAGCCTATTTTTAGGTGAACTTTCCTTAGCCTCCTGCTAGGGCGTTTCTTTGCATCCGCTGTTTTAACGAGGATCTTTCAGGGGTGCGGCAGGTTCCCAGCTGAGCAGCTCACAGTGATGTGAGGATTTCCATGCAGCGGTAGCTCAGATCTGGTTTTTTGCCTTCACTGTCTTAAAAGCCAGGTCTTTCCCCTTTCCCCGATTAAAAAGAATTCAAATTCATCTTGAGAGGCAGGAGAGCAATCCAGAAAGTGTCTGTGCTGAAGGGGCAGTTTCTTGCCTTCCCCCTGGTCCCTGATTTCTCTCCTTTCCCAACATGGATTGGGAGTTATCTGTGGAGCTGCTGAAGTTTCTCCGKGTGTTGCACGTCCGTAACAGCATTGGCCGAGGTCGGGGTTGGGTGCAGGGGAGGTGTTGTGCCACGCGCAGGGGCAGCAGGAGCACATTTATGGGTAGAGGTGCGGGGCCCTTTCAGTCCCGTTTCCCTTTTGCTCTRCCAAAGCCAAGGCCACCAAGCTCTGCACCGGAGTGCTGCAGTGTCCGCCTAGGAGGGCGCGTGATCCTGAGCGATGGGGCTGCTGTTCAGGCTTCTGTTTTCTCTGGAAAGACTCCGGGTTCCTGTGTGYGACGCTTTCCTCATCATCTCCCTGTCCAGGCCCAAGGGCTCTTGCTTACCTCTTTCCTCCTCTATGGGATTTATCTTTTCTGCTTCTCTTCCCCCTTCAAGACCACCACCTTGCATCCAGATGAGGTGTAGAAAGCCTCAGTGCTGGAACATTGGATGCAGCTGGCTGGGAATGGGGGGGGTCCGAGGGAGGTTTTCCAGGCTCAYGGGGACATTTCACTTCTCTTCCCAGCTCCTGCCAGCACACGGTCCCCCAGCGCCCACCCACCACCCCACTGTGATCGTACCAGCGCCGCCTCCCTCCCATCACGTCACCGTGGTCACCATGGGCCCATCGTCTGTCATCAACACAGTCTCCACGTCCCGGCAAAACCTGGACACCATCGTTCAGGTAGGGGGGCCCGGGAGGGCCGCGCTGGCAGTGGGAGGGAACCCGCAGGAGCCTGGCAGGGGACACGGGGAACACGGGGCTGAGCTGGTGGCGAGGCCACCGATGGCTTTGGGGACACACACAGCTCCCCAGCACCTCGGCGTGGCCTCCCGCGCGGGTGCCGGCCCCGTGGCACCCAGTCCCCRGCAGCGGGGCCGTCCTCACGGCGCGCGCTCCCCTCGCCAGGCGATCCAGCACATCGAGGGCACGCAGGAGAAGCAGCTGCAGGAAGAGGAGCAGAGGCGCGCGGTCATCGTGACGCCCGCGCGGGCCTGCCCCGAGCCCTCCGCCTCCGACACCGCCTCCGACACGGAGGGCAACGACAGTGACTCCATGGACCAGAGCAAAGAAGACCCCTTGGGGGAAGGGGAACTGCCCTGACACCCCCTGGCCGGCAACTGGGGAGGGGACGGGGCAGGGGAGGGAAACGTCAGAGAATATGCTGAAATTTTTAAAAAATACAATGCGATTTGGGTCTCTTTTATGACCTTTTTCCTATACTGTAAATCAGAGCGCTAGAAGCAGGCAAAGTTCACTGTTCAGTTCTAAGCAAGGGGAGACGGGGGGTGCTGCGTGGGGAGCTGGCACCGGGGTGGGGGCGGGCGGGAGGGCGGCGGCGTTAACTCAACACGGGCCAAAACTGGAAGCTGGGCTCCAAGCTCAGCCCAACTGTTTCGGGAAGGACGTTTAGGGTCAGGGGGTGGCGCGGAGGGGTCGGATTCTCCTGAGTTTTGTCACCCGCCCCCCTCCGCACCCCTAAACCTGCAGGGTGTCCTGCAAAACCAAAGCCAGTCCCGGCTTTCCCCGCTGGCGAGCGGGCGCTGTGTGTCGGTGAACGTGTTTCTCTTGGGACATTCAATTTTTTCTCAGTTGGGTTTTTGATTTTTTTGCTCTCCTCTTTTTGTATTTTTTGGGGGTGGCGGGCAGGGGGGTGGCAAGGGACGCCAACCAAAGCGACACTGCCTAAAAAATGCATCCCCCGGGGTGGCCGGGACGGCGCCGCCAAGCGCCRAGCCCTTCCAATGTCCCCTGCCGCCTCCAGCCGGACCCCTGCACCGAAACACACCCGGCATCCTAAAAACAACGGGAAAGAGCTCGTGCAAGCGCGGCCGGCYGGCACTCGCCGCTTCAGAGCCCTTCTGGCCTCCGTCCTCCCTCCTCGGGAGGTTGGCTTTCTTTTTAATTTGTTATTTTTATATGGGTGACGGCTCCAGCGGAAAATCCAACGGCAAATCCCTGCGCGGGCGCTGCCCGTCCGGCTCGCCTGGCGCTCCCCCCTTTGCTCTCCGTTCCCTTCTTTAAGCACTTAATCCAGTTTGCGGGATTCGTCAGGTCAGAAGAGCTTTTCTGTTTTGTGATTGTGTCGCTTCTGTTTTTTTATTTTTTTATTTTTTTGGAGGGGAGGGGGTCCCATTTTKGGGTTTCCACCTCCCCTGCCTCCCCCTTCCTGTTTGGCTGTAGGGTTTTAGGCCAGTCTTGTGTAGAGCCCTGTTGGTATTTGGTAGGTTCCTCCCCAGCCACCGCTGTTTTCTCTCTCTCGGTTTCTTTCTTTCTTTTTTTTTTTTTTT